CTGTGACTTTCTGGTCACTGACCGCCTCCTGATCCTTCACTTGGGGATGCCACAGGAGATCAGACAGGGACCGTGGGGGCTCCACACCCCTGGGGCAGCCGCCTCCAGCTCTCACGTGGGCTTCTCTATTCTCAGAGAGATTATCAACACAGAAATGAAAACCACGTCAGGGCCACATCCTTCACCTTTCCCTATGAAGTCTCTGCTCAGGCCCCTGTTAATAGGATTCCTTTAGCCAGCAGATGGATTGCGAATACAGGCAGTTTCATCTACTAAAAGACAGCATAAATCGCCACGGAGAAAAGAGAGGCCGCCGGGAGGTTATCACCACACAGCCCTCTCTGCGAAAGCCCGCTTTAGAGCATTAGTGGAATTAATTCTTCTTCCGTAAGAGCTTGCAGCAGGACCTATGATCTATGGTAACAACCAATTTCTCACTACGGGCAAAAGGAAAAAAATGACTTGCCCTGATCGACTACACAAATCTGCTTTTTAAAAATGGCCTCACATTATCTGGAGTGTTGCTCCCAGAGGCATCATTTGAAATTCATACGGAGCCAAAAGCACCCATAAATCAACAGAGAAAGTTTTGTTAGTTTTATATGCAGTGGGTTGTAATTATTTGGAATTGCATTATGGCTCCATCATGGTGATTACATTTAGATTATCCTTAAGTGACGGTAATAAAAGAAAGAGAAATCAGTCTTAAACTAATTCCCTCCCCAAAGTGTGTTCAAATACCGCAAAAGGTCTGGTATGAAAGCACACAGGGGAGAAGGGGGGATGCCACGGCCCCCGCCACGGCGTTCCTGAGCGACACCTGAGGGCGGGGTGGAGGCTGCTCCTGGAGCCTCCTTCTAGTGGAGACACACAGAGAGCAGTTCTGTACATTCTAAAAATGCAACACTCCCGATAGGATGTTCTAAGTTTATGGTTTTTAAAAGAGGATTTTCCTTAATTTCCCAGGATGAAAGAACAAGCAAGTGAATTTGCCTGCGTACAGTGCCATCAGACCAAACGCCGCAGACCCCAAGGCAGCGACGGCAACGCTGACCCCAGGAGGCTGAGGGCCTGGCAGGGCTGCCCCTCCGTTCCAGTCACAGGCCTGTTGATCAGGGACCACCAGGCTGTGGACAGCAACCCACTTGCTCTCTAAGCCAAGAGATTGGTGTCTACGCAAAGATGCCCCAAGGCCTTTTCCTTCCCAGTTTTTTTTTTTTTTCCAGAAATGCATCTTGTCCTCTGTCTGTGGATGTGACAACGTGGCCACTGGAGCTGGGTCTGCAGAGTGCAGGGAGGGCCTGGACCCAGGCGGGGGCTTGGATCCTGCACAACCTCACTGGGGAGCTTTTCCTGTGGGAAGGGGACAGCTCCTCATGCTCCACCCTGCCTCCCCACCCCGGAACGATGCCAGCTCTGTGCTAGCACTGTAGAGGACCCAGCGCACAGGCCACAGGGACCTAGGCCAAGGCCATGCTCCAGACCCTTCCCAGGGCGCTCCCTTGCACAGGGTAGCACAGACACAGCAAAGGCCCCAGACCTTGCCCAGCCTTAGCCTGGGCTTTCAGCCTCAGCTCTCCACACAGCTGCACCCAGCAGAGGGGAAAGAGCCGGGAGCAGGGCTGGCCTGGAGGAGAGCCCGAGGGTGAGAGTGGGAGCAAGGTGGCCTTGGAAGGAGGCATCAAGGCCAGAGGGCTGCCGAAGCACGGAGGAGTCAGGGACGCATGAGGCTTCCCTGGAGGAAGCACGTGGTGGTGTCCCATGTGGGGTGCCTGGTGCCTCAGCCTCGTCCCTTGTCCTGCCCACCCACAAGGACGCAGTGACACTTTTCTGAGCCACACTAGCAGATCACTGCTGAAGCAGGAACAGGGCCATGGACTGACACTCAGTGACACCCCCAGCTGTGAAGACCAAGAGGTGGGGAGAGGCTCTGCTCACCCAACAAGGGAAGTGGGGATGAGGGTGGCCAGGAGGCAGTGTGTGCTCCTAGGGAAGAAGTGCACGCAGGGCCTCCGGGCCGGTGCCTCAGGAGCTCATGTGTCAGTGGGAACAATGTGATGCGCACACCAGGATGAGCTGTGTGGAAGGTGGCGTGCAAAACACACACTAGGGAGATGTGCAACACAGTGGTGCTCGGGGGAACTCTGAACATGGGCCGGCGGTGGCTTGCAGCTCCTGCGCTCAGCCACCGCGCCCTGGTGTCCGCGGCTCATTGTCCACACCTTCCCCAACGTTTGAGACAGTACATCTCATAGTATTTGAAGGAGAAAAGTCACACATAAAGACAGGTGAGTTCCTTGGGGGGGCTGACTCGCATGCTGCCCCCCCCCAATGTCACATGCGCCACCACACGGGTCCTGCATCCAGGCCCTGCCTGCCATCAATCCTGACAGAGCAGGGCCCCTGTCATCTGCCATCCACTCACCTGTTCCTGGCTGGACCCACCTCCTATCCCCTCCCCCCAGCCGACCTCTGCCAGCCCTGGGTCCCTCTGGCACCATTGCCTCCAGGACAGATGAGACACAGCCAGCAACTGGATCTCAGGGTAGGAGGGATGAACAGGGAGGACCCAGGTGTCCAGCCCCATCACCACGAGGCCAATAGCCCCCTCGACCAAAACAGGGCAAAGGCAGGTGCAAGGCCCAGAGCAAGGGTGCCTGTGTGGGAGGAGCTGGGGGCTTCTCGCCTGGTGGGATGTGGGGTCACCGGCCTGGGTTCCAAGGAGTGGTGTTCCCGTGTCCCAGTCTCCAGAGGCCAAACAACCATGGGGGTGAGCTCGGCCAGGGCCCCGGAGAGCACCACAGTCATCACGGGACCCACTGAGGGAAGATGCCAGGCTACTGCACCCCTTCCTTTGACAGTCTGGAGTGGCCCTGCTGCCCCATTTTCATTCTGCTCTCTTCATGCCACAAACCTGCCAGCATCTGGGCAGAGGCGAGGCCATCAGGCTGGACGTGCTGCGGCCCCCCCCCCACCCTACCTGTCTCTCCCCAGCACCCCCACATTCAAATGGGTCCCTAAAGTCTTTGGTCACTCTGAGATGACAGCCAGAGGCCGGAGCTCAACTATACCAGGACTCTGAAGCTGACTACTCAGCCCACGGCTTCTCCAAGGGAACTGCAGCCCCCACCCAGTCTTTCTAACGGGAATGCCACCACAGTGGCAATGTTCAGGGAGCATCACCAGGACACACCAGCCTCACTGAGCACACAGACGGTGCCAGAGCAAATCCTCCAAGCTGAGGACATGCAGGGCAGAGGGAGGGGGCCTGCTGACACTGCGTCCTTGGCCCTGGATGATGAACAAGGAAGTTGAGCCGTGGCAGGGACAGGAGGCGGCCAGTCCTTTCACTCCAGACGTGGGTCCTAAGCAAGTTAGTAAAGGTGTTGCCTTGCTAGAGACTAGCCCAGCATACAGGTGCAGCCTCACTGTGGAGCGACCCATGGAGAAGGGACTCTCTGAGTAATCCTTCCTGGGGCTGACTGAGCAGGTGAGCCGGACACAGTCCCCTACATCACTGTGCAGGCGGGGTGGACGCACAGGGAACCGCCGACGGGAGGTGGCCTCAGCTCTTCAATCAGCTCCCCAAATGCCTCTGCTCAAGCGTCCAAACCCTGCTGTGATTTAACAGTGATAAAAGCGCAAGGAAATAGACCTGGATCAACGTGTTAAGTTAACACAGGCTGGGAAGACTCCTAGAACACTGGTTGTAAGGTTTACTAAGAAATAACAGGATGCAAAATAATGTGTACTGCAAAGCTACACAACTACGCCAGTTGTTGCACAGACAAATCATAACCAAAGCCAAAACGTTTCGTTATTTTATACTAAGTTTCTATTTGTATTGTCAGAGCTAGGGCTCAGACCTTTCAAACCCATTGTCCAGACTGGGTCACCAGACCCCTCTCGTGGAGGTCCATGCTAGATAATCGGGAGAGATCCTGGGAGCTGTTGACAGATGACACAAGCTCAGTCCTCAGCAACGGCAGCAGCAGCTTACAGGTCTGGTGGTGGCGGTGGACTCTTGGAGGGTCCTGGGGGTCCTGGGGGCCCTGGCGGCCACAGCAGCAATAGCCTCCAGCAGCAGCAGCCTCCCCATGGTCCCCCCAGGGGCATCCCGGGGATGGGGGGCCCGTGCATCAGAGCCACTGGTCCTTTATACTTAACTCTATAACCCAGGACACCTGGTGCACATGCGCAACTACATTAGAAAATAACCAAGGAACACCTGGGTGCACGTGCATATTTACAGCAAATGCTCGGCAAGATTCTGAACATCTGAGGGGCCCTGACCATTTTCCTATATTTTCCCAACATGTACAGTGTAACAGCGGCATAAAAATTCTAAAACACTCATATAAAATTTAAAAATGAACTAAAACCCAGAGTAAGTGTACCAATGCTTTATGACTGATGTCCAATTAGTGAGACAATGAATGGTCCCTCCACTCTCTAAACTCTCCGTATGAAGCAGGCACAGCCACTGGGACATGGGGCTGAACCGCCTGCTGGCTGTCACCAGCCCTGTGCTACATCTGTGAGATGGGACCATGCCCCACCCCCACGTACCCAGGGAGGGTGAAAGAGGCCGCCTAGTGAGGCCCCTCCGGCACCCCAGGCCTGCAGTGACCGCCACCTGCAGCGTGGGCTCTGACTACCAGCTAGACCGACCCACTCACACCTGAGTGTGCTGGGAGACCCAGGTGCACACCAGGTGAGCTGAATAAGAACTTTCTCCTCTTTTGGGGAAGGTTCTTTTGCCTGGAAATGATGATAGGAGGCTTTACTGATTGATGGAACGCTGAACACCTGAGACCTGTCTGCCCTAACCTAGGAGAACCTGCATCAACCCCCACGAGTTCTGAGCCTCCCAGGAAGACAATGCCACAGTGTGGCGACAGCCAGGGAGTGACGTGCCCTGCGTCTTACCCATGACCTGCTCACTCTGAGCAGCAAGCGCATCCCTGAGGAAGCCGACGGACGCGCCCTCCAACACATACCTCGGGGAAATAGTCCTGCGGAAACTTCTCTTTCTCCAGCATGGGCGTGCTCTCTAACGTGTCTGAGTAGATCTCTTTGCCAGTGACCTTTTTATACTTCTTAGCTGGAAAAGACCAGAAGGATGAGGTGAATAACTTCATCGCTGTGCCCTGTCCAACCAGGCAAGCATGAGGAAGTCCTGGGTCCTGGGTCCCACCCGTGCAGCCCACAGGGAGCAAGGGAGGACTCCAAGAGGGAGACCACAGAGGGCCCCCTGAGGCAGCCCCCAGCAGGCCAGCTGCTCCTGGATGCCCGTGGCTCGTAAATTCCGTTCCATGGCCTGGAATCTGACACTGCACTTCATTATCCCCTAAGAGCTCCCAGCCTGCAGATTTACAGGGGCTAATTGGCATCCTCTTTTAAAACCATGAATATATTTAAGAGGGTTGTGGAATCACCATTCACTCAGACCTTCACGTGAATTTATTTAATAACATCGATTTCCTCCTCACATCCAGCCAGCATCACTCATCTTCCAGGGAAGAGTTTTCCATGAGGTGGAGAGAAAGGGAGTGGGGCGGCAGCTGGCTGGACCCGCGCTGCCAGCTGCGCCCGGCACCTCCCTGCAGACACCCACGACCACCTCCCCCACCCCTTGTGGTGCAGACACCCCTACAGACAGGGGTTGGTCTTAGTTATCTTTCACATCCAGGCCCAGCGTCCTTTCTTTTTAGAGATGGGATTCCTGTGCCCACAGTGCTGTGTGATATATAAACGCATTAATCCGTTCCTCAAAGTCCTGCTGGGCCCGGTGGGTGGATGGCTGCTGGTCTCGCCACAGGACGCCACATGAGGAACACAGGCTGCACACAAGCCTCCCGAGACCGCTGTGGGTGCAGGGCCCATCCGGATGGCCCTCGACCCGCTCCTGCCGGCTGCCAGCCCCGGCACCCCACGTTCCCCCACTCCTGGGCCAAGAACAACTGTTATCAGGGTCGAGCTCCTGGGGTGTTGAGCAGGTTCTTTGGAACAAATGACACCTCTGCTGCCAGTGTTTCACGATAACACGCCTGGGGTCTTGTCAGCAGCTGGAACCTGTAGCTCCTGGAGTTGTCCTCCCCAATGGGGAGGGTTAGTGGGGCACACGGAGGGGGGCAGCATCACGAGCAGAGCGCGGACCCCAGGCAACAACAGAGGGCTAGCGGCGACGACTCGCAAGGAGACAAGCATGGAGCCCACTGGCCGACCCGGGGCCTGTGACCTGCCCTGCCCTGCCGTGTACAGTGCTGGTTTCTGGGAGCACTGGTGGGGGACAGAGGACGGGTCAGAGGACTGATGGAATACGGAACAGACATGGCATGGAGAACAGTCACCAAATCCAGAGCTGTGCGCTAAACGTGCCCACATCTCCGCTGACCTTATCCCCAAACGCAGAGACGAATCCGCGAGGGCCTGGGAGTGTGTGGTTCTGAAGCCGCTCCCCAGGCCCCCCCCTCCACCACCAGCACTGTGCAGGACCGCCACAGGTCCCTCCCGCTCAGGGAAATGCAGGCCGTGCCCTGGGACAGGCAGGCACAGGGTCAGATGGACCAAGCACAGTCTGTTTAAATAAACGAGTGACCACCACGGGGCTTCACTCCGTTCAGTACCACCCATCTGCAGTCAGAAAGGGAGTGCATGTGCATTTAATCACTGGAGGCACTTACGGCGGACCCCCACCCATCTCTGCAGAACAGTGTCTACCACACGTCACCCCTGTGTAGCTGTCAGTCAGGCTGGTGCAGCGGAAGTGAGGGCCACCGTGTGAGAAAGCCACCAGCACACCTGTCTACAGCAGACACATCCTGACATGCACGCAGGGACGGGCATAACTCACCACACCTGGGCGTCAGAGGGCGTCCCAGAGCAAATCGCCACGTGGGAGCCCACAGGGTGGAGCCAGCATGAGTGTGGGTTCCCCTCACACCAGCACGCTCCCTTCCATGCACCACCCACCACCTTCTCCAGCTCCCCTCCCAGCCAGCAAGTCTCTGCAAAGGCCCAGCTCAAACGTCACTCCACGGCCATGGGTTCTCCCGTATGGGAACATCCACTGAGCCCCGTGGGGCCTGGGCCAGAAGCTGAGGACGTGGAGAAGACACAGCCTCGACCTTTGAGGGGTGTGAACACGGGACACAGGTCCCAGACACAGGACACAGGTACAGGACGTAGACATGGGTTTAGGAGACAGGACACGGAGAAGAGACACCAATGCAGGACACGGCCTGAACCTCCCAGGAGCACAGGCCGGGCAGACCGCGCAGATGGCTGTGCTCCTTTGTCGGTGCCGTGCTGGCTCTACACGACCTTCACAGTCAGCCTGTGCGGGCCTGCTCCTCACACATGCACCTGCTGTGTGTCCTCATGCGGTGGAAGAGGGCAACCCACCCTCCTCAGCCCCCTTCTGAGGGCACTAATCCCATGAGGAGGGCTCTGCCCTCATGACCTAATCACTCCCAAAGGCCACACCTCCTAATGCCATCCCCTTACGGGTTAGGGCTTCAACATGTGAATTCCAGGGCACACGCGCTCCAGCCGCAGCGCTGCCATGAAGGTGGGCCCGGCCCTACCTAGTCTTTGGCTTTTCTCTTCAGTTTTGTGGTTTTCCTCAGAAGACTTGTACATATTTCATGACATTTGTTCTTTAGTACTCCCTTTTCGTGTGCTCATGTTTTTAATTTCAAATTCCACCCGTCAGGGGCTGGTACCTGGGAAAGCAAATGACTTTTGTACGTCGACCTTGCGTCCGCCACTGTGCTCTACCTGCTGATCAGAGCCAGCCTGGTTTTCCTGTTGTTGTGACTCTTTGGGATTTCCTGCACAGGCAGTTGTGCCACCTAAGAACAAATCGGCTCCTCCCCACCCCCGCCCTGTCAATATGCCTTTTCACTCTTTTTCTCGTTCCACTGCGTGAGCTAAGATTTCCAGTGAGATGCTGAGAGACCTGGTAAAAGGGGAATCCTCGTTCCTAACCACAGGGAGCGGGGGAAAGCATCTGGTTTCTCATGGTTTGACGTCAGCTGCAGGAGTTTTGGCATGTGTTTTTGTCAAGCTAAGTCCCCTCTGTTCCTAGTTTGCTGAGAGTTTTTATCATGACAGGAGTTAGGTTTTGTCAAATGCTTTTTCTGCATCTATCAATATTACCATATGATCCTCCTTCATTAGCCTGCTATGTGAGAGATTATACTAACTGATTTTCAAATGCTGAACTAGCCTTGCACACCTGGAATAAATCCCTATCGGTCACAGTGTATAATTCTTTTTGTACGTTGTTGAATTCTACTTGCTAATATTTCATTCAGAATTTCTGCATTTTAGTTCATGAGAGATTTTAGCCTGTAGTGTTCCTCCTTTGTAATGTCTTTATCTGGATTTCGTATTACGGTGATGCTGGCCTCATAGAATGAGTTAGGAAGTTTCCCCTCTGCTTCTCTTTTCTGGAAAAGATGGAGGAATAGCCTAACTTCTTCCTTAAATGCTTGTAGAACTCACCAGTGAAGCCATCTGGGCCTGGTGCTTTCTTTTCTTAGAAGGTTATCAATTATCAATTCAATTTCAGCTGCAGGGCTATTTGGACCACACAGTCTTCCTTGTATGAGTTTTCAGAGATTGTGTCTTTCAAGGAATCAATGCGTTTAAGCTGCTAAACTCACAGGCACAGACTCGTTCATAATACTCCTTTATTATCCTTTATATCCAGGGGGTCAGGAGCAACTACCTCGCTCTCATTCCTGATGTTAATGATTTGTATCTTCTCCCTTTTTTTCTTGGTTAGTCTGGCTAGAGGTTTATCTTAAACTCACAGGCACAGACTCGTTCATAATACTCCTTTATTATCCTTTATATCCAGGGGGTCAGGAGCAACTACCTCGCTCTCATTACTGATGTTAATGATTTGTATCTTCTCCCTTTTTTTCTTGGTTAGTCTGGCTAGAGGTTTATCAATTTTATTGATCTTTTCAATGAACCAGCCTTTTGCTTTTGTTAACTTTCTCTATTGATCTCCTGCTTTCAATTCTGTTGATCTCTGCTCTAATTTTTATAATTTCTTTTCTTCTGCTTACTTTAGAGATAATTTTCTTTTCTTCTTCTAGTTTCCTAAGGTAGAAGCTTATGTGATAGATCTGATCTTTCTTCTTTCCTAATACATGTATTCAAAGCTACAAATTTCTCTGTAAGCATTAATTTTGGTAACACCACACACATTTTCATGAGTTGTACTTTCATTTTCATTTAGTTCAAAATATTTTTTAAATTTCTCTTGAGACATTTTCTTTGACCCATGTGTTATTTAGAAATGTGTTAATATCCAAGCATTTGAGGATTTTCCAGATCTCTTTCTGTTATTGATTTCTAACTAAATCCCATTGTGATCTGTGAGTGTATTTTGTACGATTTCTGTACTTCTAAATTTGTAAAGGTGTGTTTTATGACCCAGAATCTGGTCTATCTTAGTAAATGCTCCTTGTAAGCTGGAGAAGAATGCATGTTCTGCTATTTTGGATGAAGTATTTTATAAATGTCAAGTAGATTCAGTTGCTTGATGGTGCTGTTGAGTTCAACTATGTCCTTACTGATTTATCTGTCCATTTACAATAGAGGGGTGTTGAAGTTTCCACATATGATAGTGGATTCATCTACTTCTTGCAGTTCTACCAATTTTGCCTCATGTATTTTAATGCTTTATTCTTAGGCACATACATGTTAAAGATTGTTATGTCTACCTGAGGAAATGCTTTTTATCATTAGGTAATGTCCCTCTTTACTGCTGGTAACTTTCTTTGCTCTGAAGTCTGCTTTGTCTAAAATTAATATAGCTACTCCAGCTTTCTTTTTATTAGAGTTAGCATGGTATGTCTTTCTCTATTCCTTTACTTTTAATCTTTATGTGTCTATATATTTTAAGTGGGTTTCTGGCAGATAACACATAGTTGGGTGTTTTTTATTCATTCTGACAGTCTTAGTCTTTTAATTGGTGTATTTAGACGATTCACATTTAAAGTGATCTTTGATATAATTGGAGTAAAATCTAATATATTTGTAACTTTTCTATTCATTGCCTTTGTTCTGTTTCTTTTTGTCTTC